TCTTTTAGTCCAAGAGTTGATAGTCGTGTCTCAAGTCCTTTTTCTTTAGTTAATTCTGATGTTTGGGGTTCAAATAAAGTAATGCCATACAATGGTTATAAGTATTTTGTACTTTTTGTTGATGACTTTTCAAGGATGACATGGCTCTATCTTATGAAAGATCGCAGTGAATTGTTCTCTATTTTTCAAAAGTTTTATGCTGAAATACATACCCAATTTGGATTTCATATTAAAATCCTTCGCTCCAATAATGCAAAAGAGCACACCTCAACACCATTTCAGCAATACTTAGAGCACCATGGGATAATTCATCAAATTTCTTGTTCCTACACCCCTCAATAGAACAATGTAGTTGAATGGAAGAATCGACACCTACTTGAAACTGCTCGGTCCATGATGCTTAATATGAATGTCCCAAAGCATTTTTGGAGTGATGCTGTCTTAACATCATGTTTTCTCATCAATCGGATGCCCATGTCCATCCTTGGTAGTCAATCCCTTTTCTCAGTTTTGTTTCCCACTTTGTCTTCGTTTCCTTACCCCGAGAGTCTTTGGGTGTGTTTGTTTTGTTCAAAAGTTTGGACCTAGTTTAGACAAGTTAGATGCACGTGCTACTAAATGCATCTTCCTTGGACTCCAGGACTCAAAAAGGTTATAAGTGCTATAACCCTAACTCTCATAACTCATTTGTGTGTTCCGATGTCACTTTCTTTGAATCAGTCCCATTTTTCTCGGGCACTAAGGTTCCTTTTCCTTCCCCTGTGGTTCCACTTCCTGTCCCAGTTGAGGACCCCCTTCCCGTGGTTCCTGTTACAGTTGTGGATCCCTCTCCCGTGCCAGTTACTACTAAGCGACCACCAATTCGACAAGTGTATACTCACAGAAGAGCACCGGCCCCTCCTCCAATTCAGTCCTCATCGACAGATCCTGTGGTTGCACCTTCTCCCTCGGACCTTGATCTTTCTATTGCATTGCAGAAAGGTAAACGTAGTTGTACATCTCATCCTATTTCACATTATGTTTCAGTTGCTCACCGTTCTGCTTCCCATCGCCACTTTATATCCTTGCTATCCTCTGTTTCCATTCCCAAAACTATCTAGGAAGCCCTTACCTCTCCAGGGTGGCGACAAGCAATGGAGGAGGAATTGTCTGCTCTACAACACAATCACACGTGGGAACTTACTACTCTCCTCCCGGTAAGCATGTTGTTGGGTGTAAGTGGGTCTACACAGTGAAGTATCTTCCAGATGGCTGTGTGGAACGATTAAAGGCCAGGTTAGTGGCCAAGGGCTATTCTCAGTTGTATGGTGTGGACTACATGGAGACATTTTATCTTGTGGTTAAAATTGGCTCAGTTCGGGTATTGATTTCCTTAGTAGCTATGCATGACTGGCCTCTCTTGTAGCTTGACATCAAGAATGCCTTCCTGCATGGTGATCTAATTGAGGAGGTATATATGGAGCAACTGCTAGGGTTTGTTGCTCAAGGGGAAGATGGTAAGGTTTGTAGACTTAAAAAGGCAATTTATGGATTGAAACAATCTTCACATGCGTGATTTGGCAGATTCAATGAAGTAGTGAAGAACTTGGGGATGAAACAGTGTCAGGTAGATCATTCTGTGTTCAACCATGACTCAAAAGATGGGAAAATCTTGCTAGTGGTGTATGTGGACGATATTGTCATAATTGGGAGTGACAGTCATGGGATTGGCAGGTTGAAAAAATTCCTACAGGACCACTTCAATACGAAAGATTTGGGTAAGCTGAAGTATTTCCTAGGAATAGAAGTTGCAAGGTCAAGGCATGGAATTAACTTATGTCAAAGGAAATATGTTCTTGACCTACTTGAAGAAACAAGACTGTTAGGTGCTGAACCAATCGAGACACCTATGGAACCAAATGCTAAGTTGAGTATTGATGCAGGTGAAGAGTTTGATGATCCTAGAAGGTACAGGAGGTTGGTGGGCAAGTTGAACTATCTAACTATTACACGGCTAGATATATCATTTGCTGTAAGTATGGTGAGTTAGTTTTTGCAACATCTTCAGATTCCTCATTGGGAAGCAATTTTAAGAATTGTTAGGTATCTGAAGGGTGCTCTAGGTCGTGGTTTGCTATACAAAACTGGAGGAACTCTTGAGATAGAAGGGTATACAGATGCTGATTGGGTTGGTTCTGTATCAGACAGGAGATCAACTACAGGGTATTGTACCTTCCTTGGTGGCAATCTTGTAACTTGGAAGAGTAAGAAACAAATAGTGGTGGCAAGGAGCAGTGTAGAAGCTGAGTATAGGGCTATGGCTCATACCACATGTGGACTAGTATGGTTGAAGAACTTGTTATAGGAGATGGGGTTCTCAGTTGACAAACCCATGAAGTTATATTGTGATAATCAGGCTGCTGTACACATTTCTTCTAATCCAGTCTTCCATGAGAGAACAAAGCATATTGAGGTCGATTGCCACTTTGTAAGAGAGAAAGTGATTAGTGGAGTGATAACTACATGTCATGTGAGCTTAGGAAATCAGTGGGCAGATCTCTTTACAAAGGGGCTGTCTCGGGGTAGAGTAGATTATATTTGTGACAAGCTGGGACTACATGACATATACTCTCCAGCTTGAGGGGAGTGTTAGAGTTGACAAATCAGGGGTATTTTGGTGTTTTGGTTTATCTAATTAGAAGTGAAAGGTCTGTTTTATTCAAGTTTAAGTTATGTGTCCTATCACTTGTAAGGGACAATACTGCCTTTCTTGTAACTCAGTTTATTTAATATAAATACAAAGTGGATCGAATGGGGAGGCAACTTTTCCTCAACTGGCCGAACCCTTCTTCTTCTTCTTCTTCTTCTTCTTCTTCTTCTTCTTCTTCTTCCTCTCTCTTCTCTTCTTCTTCTTCCTCTTCTCTACTTCGAACCTAGAAATGAATATGATAATTCACAATTTACATCGATTATCGATGGAAAAGCCAACTGATGGGATACACTGAAAACAAACGCGTGAAAATATAGACCGGGTGTGGAGTTTTACACTGGTCTGCCTGTGCAAATGCGAACCGACGATGGAGTTTTACGTCGATTCACATTTACACCGAAAACAGACATCGCCTTAATGTTTGAGAATTGTGATTCAAAATTGCTTCCGTCTTTGACTTGTAGCTCTACACCTCATCACCCTAGAGTCATTCCTAATTGTTCAAAATTTCTTATCCAAACTCATCCCCAACCTCAGAACCTTCCTTACCTATCGACCCCAAAGCTACTTAAACTTCCCCTAAGACACCCTGATCTTTCTCGGGTCCATCGAACCCTACCTTTAAACTCTGGACACCTTAACCCCCTACACATTAAATTTCATCTCAAAATAACCTTGCTTCCTCCTTAATCAAACCAAGATTCTTTTCCAGCCCTTCCCATTGGCCAAAGCTCGTCAGTTTCAAATATGACACCATGACACCACCCTCGACCAATCAGCCCTCTCCATTAGATTCTATATCCCCAAAGCCCCTGCCTACCAACATTCACCCTACAAATCCCTCATTTAGCCCTTGATTAAGCCAAGATTTCAGCTCCTCATTGTCCAAGGTTAATCAAGCACTAAACCTCCCTCCTATCAATGTTCTTTGGCCAATCTGATGCCACCACTTGGTTCAGAACCCTAAAAAATATAGGCCCATCAAATTTCACCTAAAACACTCCCATTTGACCCCCTAACTAGAAAGGTTCCATTTCATGCAATCTTGGTGGCTGACTTGCTAAAACTACCCTGCACCCTCATACACCCCCTCATAACATCCTAACCTTCAAAAGGGAATCCCATAGAAGAGTGAATCTTCTCCTCTAAGATTTTGCCCTAAATCCCCAAAGTACCCTCATTCTTTCCACCTAAATTCTAAAACACCCTTCACTTTATATACTTGCCCCACAAATTTACAAAAATACCCCTGATCATTTCACTCTTGTCCTTAAACCCTAAAAATTAAAAGACCAAAATGCCCCTCTTGCATATTTTCTCCCTAAAATATCCTGGCCCACACCTACCTAGACGTTGTTACCCCTAAAATCATCCAAAGCCCCCAACTTACCCCTGTGCAAAAGCTTATAAATAGGGAATGGGGGGCACCCATGAGACCCATCAAACAACACCTTCCCAGGCCCCACTCCCCTTGTACAGCCATGTCACTCCTTTCCTCAATATATCCCTATTCTCATTTTAGTTTCAGCATCACTCCCTTCTTCAATCTCCCTCTTTTCATTTTTAGTTTTAGTGTCCATTCTAGGAAGAGGAAGAAGAAGAAGAAGAAGCAAAGAGCTTGGTCTGAGTCTGCCATGGATGACGGCTAAAACCACCACCATCTTCTCCTATTTCCCTTCTACTCTTCTCTCTTGCTCCCTTCCTCTCTTCTACCATTTTCTTTAGTTCGATATTGCAAATCCCCCTTTCCAGTCTTAAAAGGCGCCTATGAGACACTCCATTCCTTGTTCAATCAAAAGCAAGGAAAGAAGGATGAAGCTTACTCAAGCACCAATTATTCCCAATACAACCATTACTGTTGATCCACTCCTTGCTTGCTTGCTTGCCTGCTTTCCATCCCATGGTTAGCTGACATAGGGACTACTTGGCATGAGATGCTCCACATAGATGCCAAATCACTAGCTTCTCTAAAAAAGCCAGCTAGGAACCACGGTCCAGTTCAGGAAACTTTCACTCACCAATCATTATTTTTTGATTAGCTCATATGCCTGAATTAGACCTCAATTCAAATTGATAATATTGTTGTCACTGTTACCAGTAAAAATCTTGAATTAGACTATAGTGGAGAACTTGCCTCCTTGTTTAGAACTTGGACTTACCTGGTACGCATTTAGAACCCTTTTTTTGGGAGGCATCCAGAACTGTTGGCACAAACTTACTTTCAGCATCCTTTATTTTGTTCAATATTATGCTACTTTGACTTTTTTAGTATTGTTCTCTTGTATTCAGATATTGTTGTTTATGTGATCAGCTCAGGGAAACTATTACTGCTTTGCCAAGAAAGCTAGTAGTCTTTGTTACTCATCACCATCGTGATCATGTTGAAGGCAAGATACTCAGAGTATTAGTGGTTCAGCTAAGAGTTTTTAATTTTTTTTTTTATATTCATAATTATTCTGTAAGTTGACTAGGCATTGACATGTGGTTGATTTATAATTTGTACAAGAAAACTTGTTGTTTGTTGCTTTGTTTTAAATCAAGAAACCATTGTTAATGAGATTGGAGCCAGAAAAAGAGTCGTTGATCTTAGGTTTCTTACTGTTTCATCTCTTAGTAATACTTTTTGTCGTATAGTGTCAGAGGACGAGGATGTTAAGTCCCCTCCTCTCTCTCACACACAGACAGACAGACATGTACACATATTCTAACACATGAACTAACATTTATAATTTATTTGGTATTTTAATAGTTAGGTTTGGTTGAACCATTGCTATTGAATAGACATCTAAGTGGTTCTTGTCCACGATGTCCGAGTACATTATGATCCCATCGAAGAGAGCGCCAAATTCTGAACTAGAGGTTAAATTAGTACTTTTTATGCAAGTAAAAACCAAGAAGAAATCAAAGAGAAGCTGAGAGAAGAGAGAAGAGAGAAGAGAGGAGGAAGAAAGAAAGAAGCTTTGAGGCTCAAAAATCTAGGCGGTGGTGCCTAGTATATTATTTATGTTAGGGTAACAAAGGCTGTACATAAGATAATAATGTAAAAAGATAAAATACTCTTGTGGCACTAATAACAGAATTACAATACTCCCCCTCAAATTGGGTCATAGATGACCATCATATCCAACTTGTTACATAACTCATTGTGCGGAGAACAGTTTAAGGCTTTTTGTATCAGTGTTTTAAAAGGCATGGGAGGCGTACGCCTAGAGGCACACCTCCAGGCGAGGCACCCCCAAAATGCCCTGAGGCATATGCCAAAGGCATTGACACCTTTGAGGTGTAAGCCTCAGGTGCAAGAGGCGTGCGCTTCATACACTTTTTTGATAAGGCATGTTAGTGGTGTATGCCTCATGCACCTCATGCACACCTCATATAAAAAGACAGAAAAAAAGAAAAAAAGAAAAAAAAGGAAAGGAAAGGAAAGGAAAAGAAAGGGAAAAAAGGAAAGGGAAGGGAAGAAAAGATAAAAGATTTTTATTAAAAATAAGGAAAAATGAGATCCTCCTTCTTCTTTCCTCCTCCCCTTCTTCCTCCTCCCCCTCCTCTTAGGGAGGCTTATGCCTCCTTGTGTCTGGGAGGCTTACACCTCCTTGTGTTTTGAACTACCCTCACGCTTCCGTGTTTTAAAACATTGTTTTGTACTTAAGCAAGCTGTTCTTTTGAGCTAACATAGGGTGTACATTACTTCTCTCTTTTCTAGTTTTACCCTAATGAAGTGCTTATCAACTTCAATGTGCTTGATCTGGTCATGGAGAGCCAGGTTTGCATCTATGTTGATTGCTGCTTTGTTGTCTTAGTGTAAGAGCACAGATTGGCACCAGGCCATAGTGCAGAATGGACCATGCGAAACCTATACTTCAGCATTAAAGGAAGAGCAAAGTCGAGATGCTTGTTCATGTGAAATCCACTCACTTAGGTGTTTTCAGAAAATTGATAATCCAGAAAGTAACTTGCATGCGAGACATGTTTGTTCTTTGTTCATGGGAAAGGAAAGCACCTGTACCGTGCAATTCATGTGGCCATAACTCTCTTTAGCTAACCTTAAAATGTGACGTGGTGTGATTGATTTGGGCAGATGATCTTAGATGTGTAGATCTTTTGTTGTAAACAACAAAGTAAGTTGAAAGAAAAGACAAAAAGGGAATAGTAAGAAATAAAGCTTTGTCAACTAAGAAGTTCCAAAGCTTCTATAAATAGCCCAATAGAAAAGGGATACCGATCGGATATTTTCCAGACAAGACAGCAGTCTTAATCTTGAGTCTAAGGAGTGAGAGCACTTTTTTGGAGCAAAACCTTAATCTTTAATAGGGCTCTACTAAGCTTTCTGATAGGCCCTCAACTACCCACTCGGGCCCACAACAGGAAACCCAGGCCCAAGACACACAGCAAGTCAGGCCCAGAAGTCCCACACGTCAGTCCAGAACACCACACGAATCACACGGGTGGCACCACCCAATACATTCATATATAGCCGACACCCATGTATTTGAAAAGTAATCATAGACTGAAAATGCTTAGAAGCGGTTACAGTTGTAGCTGGCCATTTATTATATAGGCCAATGAACGAATGCTGGAGGGGTGTGAATGAATCATTGAGATTTCTCTTTCTCTCTCTCTCTCCCCCTCTCTTTCTCTTTCTCTTCTCTCGTCTTCTACCTCTCGTCCATTTCAGGAGGGCGAGCTCCCTCACCAGCTCACTGGTGACAGAACAGCAACGGGCCTTATCAATTGGTATCAGAGCCACCCAGATCCATGGATGTGCAGATGACAAGGCTTGAAGACAGTCTCAGTCGTCTTGAGGGAAGTCAGAGGAATCAGAAAGGAATTCTGGCCGAGCTGAAGATGGTTTTAGACAGGCTTGGCACGATGGTCTGTTCTCTAGAAGAGCGTAGTCGCCGAGCTCCCTCCGTCAACACTCATTTCGGAGAAAATGGAGGATCGAAGCTGATAGAGAGCATTGGAAAGCCAATAACGACAATGAGATCATCATCAGAAGTTGAGACATCAGAAGTTGAGACTTCAACCCTAGCAACGAGCTCAGTGATGTTAGGTGACAAAATAGGGGAGGAGGAACAGAAGGGCAGTGTGAAGATTATAACCCCATCCATTGTTATCCATGTAGCTCAACCCCTGGTCCCTGTTCTCTTCCCTCTCACTCTCTCGCTTAAATCGAGCCAGTCCATACCCAGCCCAGGTCCGTCTCAGTTGTTCAACCTCTGGTCATCATTTTCGTTGGCGGCAACCATAACCCGACCCATCTCACCATGCCACCTGAAACCCGTCTCTGGCCACCCTCCAGTTTTACAGATCCCTGTTCTTTCTCTTCTTCCTTGGCTCCCTAGTGACAACCATGAGTTCTGGTTCATTGTTGGAGTTAGGCCCGGGGGTCACGGAACCTTCGACCACGAAGATCGCATTGGACGTGTGCTTGTTTCAACCAATTTACGATGTTGGCAGATTCTTTCGATCATTGACAGTGATGCCAAAATAGCTAAGGAAGACTCAATGATTTGGGTTTTGGTTCCAACAGAACCTCTAGACACAGGTCAACAACGAAAGGGGGAAATGATAGGTAATGGGGAGAATCCAAGCATCTTTAACGTAGTCGTTGTTCACCTTGTCCGTTCTAGCATCTCCAGTAGTGCCATATCTATAGCTGGGTGGATGTTGTTGTTGTGAGTATGTTCAGGCAGTTTGGAGTTGGATTAATTAGTGCTCGTCTTGTTGCTACGAAGAAGAGATTTGCCATTGTCATCATTGTCCCGGTCTCAGCCACGCTCACACCAAAGAAGATGAATCATGAAGATTTTTGCCAAATTGCTTCTGTATGTACGGAGCAAATAGGTCCAAGGTGTCGACGGTTTTTCAGCCCTTCAAATTTTATGAAGTCTGAGAAAGATGAGTCTGGAAGAATTTCCATCCTGCTGTTTTACCTTTATGTGATGCGCACAGTTTCCCTCACTAAGGCGAGAATTGATATGAGCGAGCTTGATGAGGATTTTGATGGTTTCCTTCACTCTCATGAAATGGAGGTCTACATTAGAGATCTTAATCCTAATTTGACACAACGACGAGGTAGGCCTGCAGGTTCTATTCAAATGAACTACCGCATAGCTGCATGCAAATTTCTCTTCCTTTGTGATCCTCACAGGCGAGGTAAAGCATGCATAAAGAAGGAACTACTTAGTAACTGCCTCCAGGAACTCATGGAACTGCACCAAGAAAGTGAGGAAGAAGTCACTGATACTGAAAACTGGTTCTCATTGACATCCGCCCAACGGATATATGATATGATTCTTGCTCTAGATAAAGTTCTGAATGGGACATTGAGCAAGCAGGAGCTTCAAGAATATGCAGATGGTACATTGACAGAAATATTCATCAAGCGGGCATTTGATAAACATGTTCGGCATGGCAAAAATGGTGGTGGTGGTGATAATGCACGGAAGATGGATTTTGAAAGTTTCCTTGACTTTGTTTTGGTCCTAGAAAATAAAGATACACCGGGAGGATTGACATATTTGTTTCGGTGTCTTGATCTCCATGGAAGAGGGTACCTTACAACAGCTGATATCCACACACTTTTCAGAGATGTACGTCAAAAATGGATCGAGGGAGGGAACTACGAGCTGCACATTAAGGACGTAAGAGATGAGATATCAAGATTCCTTAAATTGCATATGCAGAGAGCACAACAGCGCATGGAGTTGGCCTACGACCGCAATCACCGGGAGCTTGAATTGGCAGTTGGGGATTGGGTCTATTTGAAGTTCCAGCCTTACCGGCAAGCTTCAGTAGCCCGACAAGTTTGGCAGAGATTAGCTCCTAAGTATTTTGGCCCATTCATGGTGAATGAACGAGTGGGACAGGTGGCTTACAAATTGGGGCTTCCCACTTGCTTGAAATTACACCCGATTTTCCATGTTAGTATGCTGAAGCCTTATCTAAGCCCTACAACTAAGGTCAGCCCAACCCTTCCGCAATTCACAGAAGATGGGGGTATACTGATTGAACCACGACAAATCAGAAATGTAAGAGGGGTCAAGATAGGCAAGAAGTTACACAAGCAGGCCCTAGTCATCTGGAAAAACTTGCCACCAAAAATGCCACTCAGGAGGACTATGACAAACTACAAGATCAGTATCCCCACATCAACCTTGAGGACAAGGTGTTTCTTGAAGAAGGTGGGACTGATAGGCCCTCAACTACCCACTCGGGCCCACAACAGGAAACCCAGGCCCAAGACACACAGCAAGTCAGGCCCAGAAGTCCCACATGTCAGTCCAGAACACCACATGAATCACACGGGTGGCACCACCCAATACATTCATATATAACCGACACCCACGTATTTGAAAAGTAATCATAGACTGTGAAAATGCTCAGAAGCGGTTACAGTTGTAGCTGGCAATTTATTATATAGGCCAATGAACGAATTCTGGAGGGGTGTGAATGAATCATTGAGATTTCTCTCTCTCTCTCTCTCTCCCTCTCCCTCTCTTTTTCTTTCTCTTCTCTCGTCTTCTACCTCTCGTCCATTTCAGGAGGGCGAGCTCCCTCGAACCAGCTCACCAGTGACAGAACAGCAGCGGGTCTTATCACTTTCACTACTTGTCTCACCTTCTTTTCAATGAATATTCAGGGGGAAAACTCTTGTAGTTTCTCCATTCGCAATCCTTGACTTTCAAACCTAACCGACCAAGCCAACCCCTACACATAGTAAAGTGACATAGGGCTGCTTGCAACAAATACTAGCTCTCCCAACAAGTTCTTTATTGATAGTACTTTTTCAACCCCATGTGTCATGGCCCTGTGCTCTGCTGTGGTGCTAGATCTGGCAACCACACCTTGCTTCTTGCTTGTCTATGTAACCAAATTACCCTCTACAAAGGTACAATACCCACTAATAGACTTCCTGTCATCAATAGACCCAGCCTAATTTGCATCAGTGTACACCTCTACTTTCATGTGGCCTTGTTTTGTAAACATTAAACCTTTCCTTGGGATGTTTCTTCAAGTACCTGACTACTCTTTTCGCAAGTTGCAACGTCAAGGTAGGAAGTTCTAGGGGCATGCATATGTTGATTGAGGACCCCTATAGCATAAGCAATGTCTAACTGAGTTGTTGACAAGTATAGAAGTCTTCCTAGCAGACATTGGAATTGCTTAATGTCTAGTAAAATCTCACCCTCATCATTACTTAGTCTGTGGTTCACCTCAATAGGAGTGTTGGCTGCTTTGCTCCCAACTTGCCAATATCTTGGACAAGGTCTAAACTCTAGAACATATTTCCTTTGATAAATGAAGATACCCTTCTTTGAATGGGCAACCTCAATCAAGGAAATAATGATGGGGATGTGGATCTTTCACCTCAAATTGTGTGGCCAAGAAATCCTTCAGTCTCTGTATCTCTAAATCCCAATCTCCAATGATAACAATATCATGCACATAAACTATTAGGGCAACAATCTTACCTTGGTCAACAAAATATTATTCTAGTAATAGTTTTAAAACCAATGCCCCTTGAAAATCTTATATGAAATAAAAAAAAACCAGGTTGAAATTATATTAATGACATGATACCTGTTAATTATCAAAAAAAAAAAATCTTATACGAAATAAGGAATGACAGTAAAAAACCATGTTGGAATTTGTTAGAGTTGGCTGTAGATGGGTAGTATAGGCATTTTACATTAAGTTATATGTTAAATGTAATTATGAGTAGATCTTGAGTTAGCTGATGTGTTTCTCACTTAAGCGAGGGCATAAGAGTAATTCTGATTTGTTTAGAAATATATAAATAAAGTCTGGCTGACTAGAGAAGATAGATTTTTCTCTCTAGTTCGACTAGAACAGTTTTCTCTGAAATCGTATTATTATTATTACTATTATTATTATGATCTGAAATCGTATGGACACTATATCTGAATTCTATCATGGTACCAGAGCCACGATAACTAGTTCAGATCAACCTTCTTTTTCTCCCTCTATTCAGCGCATACTCTCCTTGGGTTTTGCAGAATTCTCATTGATAGCTAGGAGTTTCACAGAAAGAAAAAAAAGGACTGATCGTTTTCTTGTTCTGGGGTTTTTCATGCCTCCAATGAGTGAAGTTGTTGTGGTTTTGTGTGGTTGGTAGAAAATCCTCTACTCGGCAGTTCGAAGAGGGCTGGTTTCAGGTGTGAGGATGGTGACAATGCAGATTTGGTGAAACAGAATACATGATTGCTGAACCAAATCGTGATGTGTAGCAGTGAGATAGTTAGATTACATGAGTGTAGCCGTGAGAAACAAATTGTGATATGTTGCAGAACCAAATTTCCTGTTCGTGAGGTGTATTGTGAGGGTTTATGGTGCTGAAAGTGGAAGACAGCAGTGGTGTTGTTGCTAAAAGTGGTGAACAACTGTGAGTGTTATTGCTGAAACCTATGATAGTAGGTACCCTAGTAGTAATCAGTCATTGGTGTGTAGTGTGGTGACTAATTAGTGAAGTAGAGTGACAAACTAGTGGTAGAATTTCTTCCCTTTTTCCTTGTGCAGTCATGGGAGATAGCAGTGAATGCAAGTCTAGTGTGATGGTCCCTTATGATTATTTGAATGTGCAGATGCCATCTATAAAACTGAATGGTGAGAATTATGTGCCTTGGGCTAAATCTGTTGAAGTTTTTCTGAAAGCTAAGAAGAAAGTGAAGCATGTGAGGGAAGATAAACCCCCAACTGATTCTCAGGGATATGATGGGAGCAAGAGGATGCACAGATTATGACATGGCTATGGAATAGTATGGAACCCAAAATCAGTGTGAACTTCATGTTTTTAGATCAATGTTTTAAAATGCAGAAGCGTAATGCGAGGCATTCCACTACCTAGAGGCGTGAGGCGTAGTTCAGAATGCAAGAGGTGTAAGCCTCCCGAACACAAGGAGGT